ATTTGTCAATAATTTAATTATAGTAAAGTAAAAGAAAAGATTTAACAACACAAGATCACATCCTCCTCGGCTTGTCTTGGCAAAATAGAAGAATGCCGTGGGGACTGGGTTGCTTGACTTTTATGCATTTTCACCTATGGTTGGTTGACATGACAAAATGGTTGAAGCCACCGTCTATTCAAATGAGGTGGGTAGATCACCAAAGGTTGAGTGGATAAATCACCAAAGTTTGTGTGAAGATTGACTAGGATATGAAGGTTGGTTAAGTGTGAAGATTGATTGGGATAGGAGGGTTGCTTAAGCATGGGAAGGTCATCTCACAGCTTTCACATAATATGATTATCATATACTTTTAAATTTGAGATATTTTCAATTTGTAATGAAAAAAAAAAATTAATTAACTAAAAAAAATATATAGACACATGATTTACTTAACTCAGATCATACCAATTTCTTGATTAACCAATTTATATCAATGAAATCTATTGATTTAAAGAACAGATTCGGGAAGATGATTCATATCTTCATCAATCTTCCAAAAACATGATTTTCTCCAATTAATTTTCTCCAATTAAATTCCAATTGCACCACTTTATTTATTTTACATTTGATCAAAGTTCCAACAATTCACAATCAAACAGAATAGAACATTAAAAAAAAAAAAATTAGTTATTTAACAGAAAACTCAATCAAAGCTACTGTAACAGTATATTTCTCCCCCTTTTTTTTTTTTTGGGATATAATGCCCATCTATCACAATTAATTATAGCAATCATAATTCCTGGACAGAACTCATGCGTAAATATTAATTCCTGAATCCTTCATGTTAATTTTTGTCACAATAACTCACAGAAACAATAGAGTAAATTCAAATACCTGACTTTTACCAAACACAACCTTAATGAAATTTCAGATATTAATAATAGACCCAATTCAACAATAGCAAACAGAACATGCATATAGAACTAGTGTTGAGCTAGCCCTCCCAAGTTGGGTGGCTCAACAATGGAGGTGCACCTTGAGTGCATGGCGCATGGCAGAAACTTGGAAGATTTGGTTTTGAAGATGAACAGTGGTTTCCGACACGGACTTCTCTTATTGTTGAAGAAATGGGAAAAGCAAAGTGGACTCCTCCAACTTTGGACATGCTGACATGTTAGTCCCTAATAGGATAGTGTTACACTATTCTTGTATCCAAAAGCTCCCTATTTAATCTCTTGTTTAAAATTTGAAAAGAGTGCAGATTGGTTAGAGCGTGAAAAACAGAGAGGGAAAGCAGTGCAGAAAAACAGAGTGAGGTTGAGAGAAAAATCTCCCTTGTTGGTGTTAGAACTTGAGAGATTCGGATTATGATCCGAAAATTGTAATCCATTTTCAGTAGTGGATTGATTTTTCATCTGGGTAAGTGTCCCGTGGTTTTTCCCATTTGGGTTTTCCACGTAAAAATTCTGGTGTCCTCTTTATTTTACTTTATTTGCTTATTCTGTTCTTGGGTGTTTGATTGTGTTGCTGATTGGTTTGATTCTGGGCATTGGACCATTAAAACCTCAACAACTAGACATTAAATCATCCACACACCTGTAAGAATATTGGAGAAAGCTAAAAATTCAAAGTTTTATTGTCTTGAAAATTTAGGTACAAGCTTCTGCCCTTCTTTCCTCTGCAACTCTCCCTCTGCTTCTGTTTTTTTATTTTTCTGTCGCGTACTTCTCTACTTTTCCCCTTCTGTTTCCGTTCTTTTTTTTTTTTGCCTTCTCTCTGGTTTTTCCCTTCCGAATTCCTCCTCTCTGCCTCCCTCTCGATCTCTCAGCCTCTGCTCACCCTTGGCTAGTCGAATCCCCGTTTAGAGACAAAGGGAAAAGGAACCCAAATCCTTTTCTAATTTTAAGCTCTAATCCAAATCCCTAAAAGTATAGATAATAATCTATTTCTAAAATTGACTTACTTCTTCCCACATCTTCTCTGTTTTAAGGCTAGATTCATACCTCTTATGCATTGGTACTCTACTCCCACCTTGAATCAACTTCGGGACTCGTTGCAGTTGATGACTTACGGTTTGTAGGTCTTATCCAAATCCTTCAATTGGCCGAGCTTGGCTTTGAAGAAATCTCCATTGGCATCGTGATTCAACCAAACTTAAGTTGATGAAAATGAAAATGAAAATTTGAGAGAAGAGGTGCGGCAAGAACAAACAGGAGAGGCTAGCGTTCAATTGAAACCCCAGCCTTTTATATTTGAGCAATGCTAGGGGCACTCGCTTTTCGCACTCTCTGGCCAACACTTCCCCTTTCATTGGGCCACGTAAGCCTCTTTAAAGCTTTCCGCGCAACTTCTTGGGAACCAAGATAACGTGGCCCAATAAAAGAGAAAGTGTTGACCGGAGAGTGCGAAAAGCGAGTGCCCCTAGCATTGCTCTTTATATTTTAGTTTAGGCCGTTGGACAAACGACATCATTTTGCTATTTCCTCCTCTCAGCCCTTCAAATTTCCAGCTTTTTGTAGAATGGTCCATTGGCTTTTGTTATTGATTGAAATTGGGTTATGACACCTACTATGGCACTATGGTTACCAAACAAGGCTTTATGTTTCTTTTAAAATTGTATCCATCGTAGGCTTTGGGTGAAAGAAAATGGCACCAAGTCACTAGCACGGAAAGCAGGACTCGTCTTCCATTTTTACAAGCTCCATTTCACCCACTGCCATATTTATTTAAGATTAAAAAACAAAAGCAAGCAAGCAGAAGTTGGATGAAAATGGTCATCATTGTGGGAGCCTCTCCATTGATGTCAACAAGATTTGATGGGGTGGGGTGCACGTATCCTAGTCATTTGGTCCACGAAAAGGGGCCAGATAAATTATCTTCATTTTTCCTCTACTTTCTCAGTAATGAAACACAGAGAGGGCATGCAATTAATTTTGATCCCATGCTAAAAACAAATACCCGAAATCAATTTGCTTAATACATTTACCTGAGGTTGAGACGAAAAATCAGCAATTAGTGCTACCCTTGGTCTTGGTCATATGGACCTTGAGTTCACCATCCATCCCCAAATACCAACGCAGAAACTTGACCTTTGAAAACGACAGCACCGAAGTAGACGACGAGTTAGCAGGTGCTCCATCACTTTCCAGAGAAAGTGAGGGATCCGAAAATAGTCTATGGTCTGAGTGGATTCTACCGACGACTCCGTGAAACAGGCGATGGTTTGCAGATGTAGCCGCCTACCATGGCGGATAAAGGTAGCTCTTTTTTTTTTTTTTTAACATATAATGATATGATGATGGTTATACAATAGATATAACCCTCTCATTCGAATTAAAATTTGAATCTAAACTACTATACTAAGTTTTTAACTAATTAAATCATCCTTAGACTTGCCACATATCTTTTCTAAATGAGCCTACACTCATTCAATTGCTTTGTTTGGGGTATTTCTTCTTCCTTGTGATGCTATGGAAATAAATTACGGCTATTTATAGTGGGAAGATGATAGGGTTCTTCTCCTTCCTCGTGATGCTATAGGCTAAATTCAATAAACAGTTGATTAATTATGTGATTTAGTTCAATTTAATTTAGAAAAAAAATTTTTCTTTCCAAATGATTTGTAAACTATTAATTTTATATCAAATGGTCTACTTACCCTGGTGGACGGTAGCTTTATTTTTTTAACTTATGACGATGGCTATGGCACAGGTGGCAAATGGGTGGATTAGGTCACCTCAAATGATAGGTCATATGGGTTGGGTTATCTCGAGTCATGGGTTAGTAAAGGCTAACTTTAACCCAACTTTAGTAGGTTGTTAACTTATGGCTTAGAAACCTTTTTATATATTTTTTATTTTGTATTATTTATAAAATTAACATTTTAACTTTAATTAACTAGATTAATTTAACATTTTAACTTTAATTTACTAGATTAATTTTAATTTTAATAAACTTATATTACGGATTGGGCTTCAAGTGGAGTGCACCACTCATTCCGATGCCATTCCAGCTGGGGCATATTCAGTTGTACTCTCTTGCGCCTTTCCACATAACAAAATTGGGGAAATTATTTGGCTCTATTGCATAAGTAAGGTCTCCAGGGCATGGATCATCTAGGGTCTTCCACACTAATAGCTGTCGATTAAATCCAATCCTTAAGTTCCATCCAAATTTCATCCTAGCTAGCAAAGTATTAGTAGTATAGTCAAAGCTTCGCCACAAAATACTTGTATTTCTAACCGATAGAACAAGATTTCTAGAATCCAAGAGTTGAACTATTGGGTTTCGAGCTTCTTCCTTTGAGTTTGATGCCTAAACAATAGTTTGAACTAGACTTTCCTAAACCAAATTCCCAAATAACAGCTCTTACCAGAGCTTCCAAAACTGAAGAACCCTAGTTCAGAGCTTCCATCACTAGAAATTGAGGTTCTGCCATTACTACCTTAGTTTGGATTGGGGAAATTGAAGGGAAAGGGAAAGAGGATGGAGAAATGCCTCCTTCTCATGTTTGGGTTACCAATTTTAATGGAGGGGGAGGGAGATGGAACCTCCTTAACTCCTCTATTTTCAATCTTACCAAATTAGAGAGATTAGAAGGGATTGACTTTATACATTTAATTTTATTAAACTTTTTTATAAAAAATAAATATATAAAAATATTTTATATCAATTATTTTTTAATTAGTGAATTTTAAATATTTTATTTTGTTTTGTTTTGTTTTGTTTTCCTTTAAATTATTCAATTAAATAAGAGTGTTATCCTTCCCTCTCGTCCACTTTTGTTTATCCAAATAAATTAACATTAGTCCTTTCATTTCCTTTCCTTTGCTTCCCCTCCTCTCCCTTCCTTTCCCTTTATTAATTTTTATCTAAACAAACGTCAAGATTGTTAGATAGGATGATGATATTTGTTCCATATGAGAATCTAGAGAAGAAAAGCAATGAGAGGATGATGATAATAAACATTAAAAATCGAATAACCATTGTTTTGCAGTTTTTCATGAATAACAAATGGAACCTTTATAATGGCAGGTTAGCTCAAATATCCCAAATGCAGTAGTCTTGACTCTTGAGTGTGAATTAGTGTGCATGTTTTCCCGGTAATTCCCGGTAACAACCCTTTCTAGAAGTTCCCTACCCTGAAAAAAATACTGCAGTTGGACCTTAATTTCTACACGAAAATGATTTAATAACAAGTTAAAAGTCTTAGGAATTTAGTCCAAGAAATGGGGCCAGATAATTATTTTCACTTTTCACCAATTTTCTCAGAAACCAAAGAGAGACGGAAAGCAATTTTGATATCATACTGAATAATAAATAGATACCTAGAAACCAATTTGCTTAATACATATACTTGAGACTGAGGCTGAGAGAAGCAATATGAATAACCGCGCTAGTGATACTTGGGCCATGGACTCACCAATCCCAAAAATCTGACCTTTGAAAACCCCAGCGCGGAAGAAGAGTAAGAGTCAGCATGTAAAAAGAGAGGAGAGATTTCATATTCTCTCAGTTTCCTGAGAAAATGAGGGATCCAAAAATAGTCTATGGTCTGTGTGTGCGGGTGGATTCTGCTGATCGGATCCATGAAGCCGGTGGTTATTTCTTGCTTTGTTGGAGGGGGTTCTTCCCTTTGTGCTGTAGTCTTTATGGGAGTGTTCCAGGGGGGACTACCTTATGGATGACCTTTAAATGACGATGTTTTGGCTTAGGGATACTTGGATGAGGGGAGGACCCAATATGAGAGAGCCCGCTGCTCATCTAAGGTTTCAAACTTTACAAGTTGAATTTTAAAATAGTTTTTCATCTATATATATAGATAGAGTAATTTATGAATTTATGTTGGACAATGAAGTGCTAAGGATACAGCAATATAAATATCCCTATTATTTTAGTACAAATAATGGTTAAGGCTATATGGCAAGTATTGAGAAATCACAGCAACTGGAGTTGTCAAAGCATAAATCAAGTGAGAAAGATAGCTCAGCAGATATGGAAACAATATTAGGAAATCATGCTGAACAATTATGGAAACAATCTCAAGAAATCAAGGACAAATCATATTCAAAAGCAATGGTCAAATAATGTGCCATTGAGCCTTCCTCAATGTCAAGCATAATTACAGTCTCAATCAACTTTTTTGTAAACATAAATACATCTCTTGTACACCAATGATTACTATGAATACAAGTTCAATATTCTTTCAACCTTTCTTTGCTTTTCTTCATGGTATCAGAGCAGGTTGTTGCTTGTATCTGAATAGCAAGTGTTGTGTCCTTTTTTGCATTTGAATTCACTTTGTTCGTGTTTCACATCTAATTCACAAGAAAATCAAACTCATGGTGAAGAACCAAAATTTGCTTACCATTCAAAGCTTCCACCAGATGGCAAGCCTTCTTTCGGTCAAGCTGTCAAGCACTTTTCTGCTATAGAAATCACAGATCTTTCCTCTAATTCGTAGCACTCAACTTATACATCATCTAGAAGAAGAGGCTCTAGTTGCAACAATCAGCAAAGGTGGAAAGGAAGAGCTTAATCCTGACTATGCAGTTTGGCTAAACAATGATGGCTTACTTACTAGTTGGTTACTTGGAACCATGAATGAAGAAGCTTTGAGCCTCGTTGTTGGCTGTGACTCAGCTTTTCAAATTTGGAAATGCTTAAAGGAACATTATTTGGCATCAACAAAGGAGCAAGAGTTGCACCTTAAAGGCCAATTAGCAATCAAACAAGGAGATGATGAATCTCTTAAAGATTTCATAAGAAAATTCAAGAGAACTTGTGACAATTTAGCTGCTATATGTAAGCCTATTAATGACTTAGACAAAGTGTTTCAACTCTCCATCATAGTAGGGGGACGGTACTAGCCTTACAATCTTGCTGTCTTATCTAAGCCTCCATGTCCTACCTTTAGTCAATATATATTGTAGGGTTACAAAACAATGAAAGAGATTTGCAAGTTGCTGAACAGGAAAGCAAGGATAAAGTTCCAAACTATGCCCAAGCCTTCGTTGCACAAAGGAGTAGAGGGCAACGTGGTAGAAGCAATGGTAGCAGGTACTTCAACTCTAGAGGTAGAGGATTTGTTCAAGCTAGAAACTATCGACATAATGTGTCCAACCATAGGAATCCTATGATCAACAACAATCCTATACCACAACAAGCCATACCACAAAAATTTCAATCAAAAAATTCGACACAACAAGGTGAGAATCAATGTCAAATCTGTGGTGTTACAGGCCATATAGCCTTAAAATGCTGGTACAAATTTGACCATGCATATCAAAGTGAAGAATTACCTCAAGCTTTTGCAACGTTAAGCCTATTAGAAGATAAGGATCAAAACACTTATATTGATACTGGAGCTACTGACCACATGACCTCAGATACAGGTAAACTTTATACTAAAAGACTTTATTATGGTAAACAAAAAGTTTTCACAAGTGATGGAACTCCCTTGCAAATTTCTCATATTGGTTTTATCTCCATTGGCTTTTTAAAACTTAAAGATGTTTTGGTGGTTCCTACTCTTAAGAAAAATTTACTTTCTGCTAGTAAGTTTACTGATGATAATTCATGCATTTTTGAATTCTCATCTAACGGTTTTGTGATTAAGGACCAAGCAACACATGCGGTGTTGGCCAGAGGCACTAGGAAAAGGCAATTGTATGCATTGGATGAAGAGGAAAAACATGTTCTTGTTGCTATCTCAAATAAGGCTATTGATTCTATTTGGCACCAAAGACTAGGACATCCAAATTCTAGTGTTTTAAAAACTCTAGCATCAAAGAATCGTATTACTGTATCCAATTGGACTAAGCCTCCCTATTTGTGCACTAGCTATCAAATGGGGAAGAGTTGTGAGCTCCCTTTTTCAAAAAATAATGAAAGAACCGATTCACCCTTTCAAAAAATACATTGTGATTTATAGGGGCCTTCTCCAGTGCAATCTATTAATCATTTTGCCTATTATGCGATTTTTGTAGATGACTATAGTAGGTTTACATAGTTTTATCTTTTGCATAGAAAATTTGACTTCCTTAGTGTTTTTCTAAAGTTTCAAAAGATGGTTGCAAATTAGTTTAATAAAAGCATCAAAATATTCCAATGTGATGGTGGAGGAGAATTCTCCAGTATTGCTTTCATTAAACACTTAGAAGACTATGTCATCAAGCAACAAGTATCTTGTCCTAGTACTCTAGAACATAATGGTGTTGTGGAAATAAAGCATAGACACATCGTTGAGATAGGTTTAACTATGTTAATTCATGCTAATATGCCACTGCATTATTGGACTGACAGTTTTTCTACTGCTATTTTCCTTATTAATAGGATGCCCACTCCTTTACTAAACAATAAAATTCCATATTAATTGTTGTATGGTAACATTCTTGATTATTCAATGACAAAAGTGTTTGGATGTTAATGTTTCCCATACTTTAGAAATAATTTTTTACACAAACTCCAACAGAGGTCCCTACCTTGTATTTTCCTTGGGTACAGCCAAATACATAAGGGATATAAATGCTTACATACTCCTACTCAACGTATGTATATCTTTAGGCATGTTGCTTTTGATGAATATTTTATGCCTTATATTGATCTTACAAAGCTTTCAAAGGATGTTAATAGAGATGGGCAATTATGCAAGTACCCTAACAATGATGAATGGCTTCAAGCCTCAACAAACTTACAACCTTCAAGGCACTTGGATGAGAAGTTGTTGACTTTCTTGACACCCTCACACCACACCACCACTTCTAAAGAGGAGGAAAATAATTACAGCAGCAACAACTTCAGAGGCAATGTTGATGAAACTATAATAGGTGCTCCCAATCCATGTTGAGAAAAAAACAATGTGACACCATCACAAATCCTGACCAGAGAAGACAACACCCAATTAAATAATACTCAAGAGGATTCCAGGTTTTCTCAATCATTCGAAGGATCTAATTCAAAAGAATCATTTGCCCAAGAAGAATTTGGATCTCTTCAATCATCGGAAGTCTCTAATTGAGCTCCCTTAGAAGCAACAAATGGAAATTAGCACCTTGAGGAACCTGTTGTTTCTAGCTCAAGCTTAGCACGTTGTGGAACAACTCCACCACCTCATAATGCTTCCTCGGTTTCCCATCATCCTATGTTGACCAAAACTCAAACTAGAATTCATACAGGACATGTGAAGACCAATTTTTCTAAACATGTTCATACTATGACCATTAATAAGTTTTCTTTGCACATTGCAGCGCCTGACATTCATGAATTGAAATCTGTTGAAACAACAATAAAAGGCTCACATTGTGTCGAGGCCACGCAAGAAGAACTAGTTGCCCTGCCAAAGAATGAAACACCACCTTTACCATCTATCAATATTGTAAACTCCAGATGGCTATTCAAAACTAAGCTTCATTCTGATGGCAGTTTGGACAGTTCAAGGCACGCTTAGTCGCTAAAGGCTTCTCTCAAATACCCGGAGTAGACTTTGATGAGACTTTTAGCCCTGTCTTTAAACCGACAACACTACACTTAGTTATAGCACTAGCCACTACCCTTGAGTGGCCTTTTCGGCAACTAGATGTTAAAATGCCTTCATGGAAAACTTAAAGAAATAGTATATATGACCCAACCACCAAGCTTTGAAGACCCAAGTTATCCTAACTATGTCTACAAGCTCAATAAATCCATCTATGGCCTCAAATAGGCTTCGAGAGCTTGGTTTGATACTTTCACCATACATCTTTTGAAAATGGGTTTTGAGTGCAACCAAGCAGACTCCTCTCTATTCGTACTTCATACCAACCACGACATTGCTTTACTTCTACTCTATGTTGATGACACTGTCCTTACTTCAAGTTCAACAAGGCTTCTACAACAAATCATTGATCATGTTACTGGAGAATTTGCACTCAAAGACCTTGGCACTCTTAACTATTTTCTTAGAATATAGGTCACCACATTTGATGGAATGATCTTTTTAGCCACACATCAATGCTTGAGGCTCCCACAATTGTAACTCCATTGGCTATCAAAGAAAATCCTTCTTCAAGAGACACGGAGCTAGTTGATGCAAAAGAATATAGGAAAATTGTTGGTGCTCTTCAATATTTGACTATCACTCGAATTGATATATGCTATGCTGTGAACAAAGTATGTCAATTTATGCAAAACCCCACTCTTGCCCACCTCCATGATGTTAAGCGCATCCTAAGATACATAAAGGGTACACTGCACTATAGTCTTCGTTTTTACTTTTGCAACACCTTATCTTTGACAGGCTTTTCCAATGTCTACTCGGCCGGCTGTACAACTACAAGAAGAAGCATAACAAGATACTGCATTTTCCTTGGAGAAAATTGTATATCATGGTTCTCCAAAAAGCAACCAACTATATCACGATCAACTGCTGACATAGAGTACCATGCATTAACCTCCACCACAACTGAGATCATATGGATCACATATCTTCTTCATGATATTGGAATTCCCTTGCTCTTTCCTCCTCACTTGTTTTCTGATAACATAAGTGCCCTCTATATGTCTATTAATCCAGTCTTTCATGCCCGAACCAAACACAGAAAATTAGACTACCACTTTATTCGAGAGAAAGTGGCAATCGATACACTAGTAACAAGATACATGCCCAACACTGAACAACTAGCAATATACTTACAAAGCCGCTACCTCGACCACAATTTCAATTCTTTTAGTTCAAACTAGGAGTGGCTGCTTCACCCCACTCCAGTTTGAGGGGGAGTATTGAGAAATCATAACAACTGGAGTTGTCAAAGCATGAATCAAGTGAGAGAGAATGCTCAATAGATATGGAAACAATATCAAGAAATCATGCTCAGTAATTATGGAAACAATCTCAAAAAATCAAGGACAAATCATATTCAAAAGCAATGGTCAAATAATGTGCCGTTGAGCCTTCCTCAATGTCAGGCATAATTACATCTCAATCAACTTTTTTGTAAATATAAATACATTTCTTGTACACCAATGACTACTGTGAATACAAGTTCAGTATTCTTTCAACCTTTCTTTGCTTTTCTTCAGCAAGCATTTGTGATTAACATTAAATAGCATAATTATAGCAAGAGGCATGCAGCGTTCAGGTAATTTTTATCGAGGCTCTAACACTGAGAGACTAAGCCCATTTGTTGAACTTGATTCAAGTTCAGGGGATTTCTTGTCAAAAAGAAAACCAGGTTCTTTGGGTTGTACCAATTCAGTCTCACTACCCAGCATCAAAACCACAGATGACATACTCGGCCTGTCTTTGTAATGTTGTTGAACACATAAAAGACCAATGTGGATACATCTTAATACTTCGGATAGGGTGCAAGATTCTTTCACAAATGAATCAATCAGTTCTAAAGGACGTCCTTCTTTCCACAATATCCATGCCTACATGCATATTATAAACTTTGTCATTTTTTAGTTAAAGAAAGGTAAGAAGGTAAGTATTGAACCTAGAAGAGCATACTGGCCCAGTCGAATAGAAGAGCCTTTAAAGCACAAAGGGCTCAACCTATGGCAAGGGTTCAAACCCTTTTCGCCACCTTGACCCTCTCCCCTGCAAGGGGTCCGAACCACCTCGCCCACCCCTATTAGAAAGCAACAAAATAAAAAAACCAAGCAGGAGTTGAATCTTGATACTTACATGTCCAATAAGGTTAACATTATGGCTAAGATGGTAAAACCCTCTATTCTTCTTCCCACTTATTATCTCAAGCAGCAATATGCCAAAGCTGAATACATCGGATTTTACTGAGAATTGTCCATTAATGGCATATTCTGGTGCCATATAACCGCTGCAAAATAATAATTAAGACAAATTATATCAACAAAAATTTTGTTGTAGATTAGGTAGCATGGAGATAAGACTTACTAGGTTCCAACCACTCTATTTGTTTTTTCGTCTGATTGTTCTCCAAATGTTCTAGCCAAGCCAAAGTCTGAAATTTTGGGATTCATTTCATTATCAAGCAAAACATTGCTAGCTTTGATATCTCTATGGATGATCCTCAATCTAGAATCTTGATGTAGATAAAGAAGCCCTCTAGTAATTCCACAAATAATGTGAAAACGCCTTGACCAGTCTAATAGATTCCTTCTTGTATCATCTGTCATGTAATATCTTCTTCATATTAATGAAGTGTTCAACAATAGCTTTTGAAAAAGAGTTGCACTGAAAGATGCAACCAACTTGTGAAGAATTTATGCTAGTCCTACTAAGTTAATTAAAAAGGTCTCACAGGAAGTCGAACCAAAAATGAAGTAGTCCAAACTTTTATTAGGCATGTATTCGTAAATTAACAATTTCTCCTCCCCTTGAATGCAGCATCCTAAAAGCTTCACAAGATTTCGATGTTGAAGTTTGGCTATAAGTGCTACTTCATTCTTGAACTCAACTAATCCTTGTCCAGAACTTCT